AAGAGGATCATTGTGGGACTTCGTCGCAGAAGAGGATCATCGCGGGACTTCGTCGAAGAAGAGGATCATCGTGGACCTTCATCGCAGAAGAGGATCATCACGGGATTTCGTCGGAAAAGAGGATCATCATAGGTCTTCATCGCAGAAGAGAATCATCGCGGAACTTCATTGCAGAAGAGAATTATTGCAAAATGTCATTGCGCGACTTCATGGAAAAAGGGGATCATCGTGGGACTTCATCGCAGAAGAGGATTATCGTGGAACTTCGTCGTAGAAGAGGATTATCGTGGGGCTTTTTATTATAGAAAAGGATCATCGCGGGACTTCGTCGCAGAAGAGGATCATTGTGAGACTTCGTTGCAGAAAAGGATAATTACGGGACTCCGTCGCGGAAGAGGATCATTGTGAGACTACGTTGCAGAAAAGGATAATTACGGGACTCGGTCGCAGAAGAGGATCATCGCGGGACTTCATCGTAGAATAGAATCATCACGGAACTTCGTCGAAGAAGAGGATTATCGCGGGCTTTCGTCGCAGAAGAGGATCATCGCGGGACTCCGTCGCAGAAGAGGATCATTGGGACTGTTGCAGAAGAAGATTATCACAAAATTCCGTCGCAAAAGAGAATTGTCATGGGACTCCGCAGAAAAGGATAATCGCGGGACTCCTTCGCAGAAGAGGATTATCGTGGGACTTCGTCGCAGAAGATGATCATCGTGGGACTTCGTCGCAGAAGAGGATCATCGCGGGACTTCGCCGCAGAAAAGGATTTCGTCGCAGATCATCGTGGGATTCCGTCGCAAGAGGACTTATTATAGGACTTTATCATGGAAGATCATCGCGAGATTTTGTCGCTGCAGAAGATTATTTTAGGATTTCATCATGGAAGATCAAAATCGTTATTGGTCGATTTCATCAAGTCGTGAATCATAAACGAAAATCATCTCAATATTTCATCACCATCACATATTTTGTCACAAGAAAATATCGCTTTGTTACAGAATAGAATCATGATATTCGAACATAGAATTCATGAGAATCTTAGCATTGTATGAACTTTTGTTGAAATCATAAATCATGAATCGACATCAATTTTCTAACTCAAAATATTGAATTTGCTACTATAATTATAAAATTTTATTCTAAATCGATGTTCGAAACTTTAATATCGGAAACTTTTTTTACTATCGCAGAATTTAAATTTGCATTATTATGGAATTGGTATCTTCAGTATTATAAAGTCTAAGTTCTTCACTGAATTTAAAACAAGTGTAAACTTTCAATTATAACTTTTTAAGATATGAATTTTGAACATTAAAAGATTTAAATCTTCAACATTTATAGAATTTGCAAAACTGAACTGAAATTCGACAATGTAAAGAACTTCATGACAACTTTGACATCATACGATCTGAAGCTTCGATATTATCTCGACATCGTGGGATCTAGAACTTCGACATTATGGAATCTAAAATTTTACAACATTGTTGGAATATTTTACATCGTGGAACTTGGAGTCTCGACATCGTGGGACCTGGAACCTGGGCATCGCGGGACTTGAAATCTCGGCATCGCGGGACTTGGAACTTCGACATCGCGGGACTTAAAACCTCGACATTGTGGAACCTGGAACCTGGAACCTCGACATCGCGGGATCTGGAACCTCGGCATCGCGGGACTTTGAACCTCGAGATCGCGGGACTTGGAACTTCGGCATCGCGGGACCTGGAACTCAGCATCGTGGGATCTGGAACCTCGGCAAAGCGGGACCTGAAATCTCGACATCGTGGAACGTGGAACCTTAGCATCGTGGGACCTAAACTTCGCAATATTGTAGGAATTGGAGTTTCAACATCGTAAGACGTGGAGTTTTAATAACATTTTGAATTTTTATCATTACAAAATTCTGGTACCTTGATCTTAATATCATAGAAATTAAATCTTTGTCATTAAGAAATTGAATTCTCAATATTATTGGATTTAAACTTAACTCAGCAAAATCTAAACCTTTATCATCAAGGTTTTGATTGTTAACAGCACAAGATTTCTATTAAACAATTCTAAGCATGTATAGATTAAATATTTTTTATTTGATGAATTAATAAATGAATTACTTAATAATTTAGATGAATTGATTAAAAAACTCAAATATTTTTACTCATAAATTAATTTTTAGCGTCTTCAGCATCGTGGGATTTATATAATCATATAATGAGCAATAGAAAAATTTTGATCTCTTTAGATAATGTTAATCTTTTAATTTGTGAAACTTGTGATTTTTTCATATTAATTTAATGTTATTCTCTCTTTTTAAATATATTCATATTTTATATATGTATACATATGTACTACAGCGGAATACAAAATTAAATCAAACTTTGGGAATATATTTATATTTTGTTGATATTATATATAATACACATAAATATTTTGAGAATAGGAACTAATAATCTGCAATATTTTATTTCAGAGCTGCTTTAAAAAATGTTAAACAATGAGTAATTATACAATCTAATTAATTTATATTAATAAATAGTATAATTAATTAATCTGTATTACTACTTGTTGGATTAATGTAAATTTTATGTAAGATTTTAAGTGTAAAAATAAACTTTGAAAAAGGATATATTATTTTTCCTACTGGATTTATATAATTTTTCAAACCCCCTGTAATTCCTCATGTTCTTTTAATTTCATTTTGATAATTTTTTTTTCAGAATTCTGATTTTAAATGACTTACCTTTACTAAATTATACATATATCCATTATTTTAGAATTTACGATGTTCAAGAAAGATTTTATGGTATAGATGGTAGTACGAATTAGTTTGTGTCGGTTCAAGTAAAATTATATTCTTGTTACTTCGATATAGTTTGAGCAAATATAATATTGAAATAAAGGTATGTTTATATTAAAAATTAGATTAGTTATGAGACAATGCTAAATTAGCTTGAAGATAAGAATAATATACATAAAAATAATGACTGGTGTTTATTAAAGTTGTATCCATCGAAATACGCTTTCGCTGTTATTAGAATTCGAGTTTAATAAGTCTACTTTAATTAATCGAAGGTTAAAATACACACTAAGCGCAGACATACATTATTTTTACAATATATACAACATATATATACAACGCAATCGTTCGTAGCACTTATTTACTCCACGCATTAAGGCTCCTGGGTAGTCACCGCGGCCATATTGGATTCTTACTATCGAGGCGAGGAAAACACCCAATTTTGTTGTGCATGCCATTTTCAAATAAAAAGACATTTCAATAAAACATCACTATAAATCGTTTCAGAACACTTCCAAAATTGGCCGAAAACTACCTTTTTCCCTCGACAATAAACAAACAGCTATAAAACAAAGCCTAAACATACGGGACCAGGAGCCTTAATATATGATCCGATAGATAAATAAAAAAAAATCACAATATGCACTACCGTTCTAATTAATCTCTTTCAAAAAAGATATCCCAATATCGTGGAAACATCTCAAAATACTTAAAGCACATCCACAAAATTAATTTCAACGTCTTTTAAGTATCGCATTGTTAGAATAAATCTAAGATCGTCAAGCGATGTTGTCGTCCTGCTTGAAGCCCTGGAAAGGACTTTGTATCCTGGCGGGTTTGCTGGGCGCGGCGAGGAGTCTGCTCCAGGCGCGGCAGGTTTTGCCGGACCATACCCACATGCCGGAGGTGACGCCGACCACGAGGGACAGAAAGAGCCTGAGAAGGGCAACTTCGAGGCCGGCGGCACGGTATACCGGGCCAGGAGCGCAATTCTGCGCCGAGCGGCAGTCCAGCGCGGCCAGCAACGCCAGCTTTCGCCATCGCGGCCTCACCGAGGCCTCGTGCAGCACGCAGGCGAGGCCGCCCAGCGCCGGCAACGCGTACAATAGCGCGAAGATACCCAGCCGCGTCATCAGGCGCTCCAGTTTCGTCGCGCTGCGACCGGCGCAGCGCACAGCCCTTCGCACGCGTACCAGCGCGCTTCCAGCAACGCTACCAAACACGCAGCCCAACAACAACAGCACGGCGTGCGGCAGCACTTCCAGCCACAGCGCTGACTCGTCGGAGATCTGACATAGGCCGGTCAGCTCGTCTGCCACCACGTTGCGCGACAACAGACTTCCTGTAAATTAAAAGAAATCGATAAGAAAAGAATGTATAAATACAAATAAAAAATGTCGCAATTAAAAAGCGAATTGAATGTTGATATTATATATTTAATTAAACAGATTTTAGATCTATAAGTTACCTCCTGTGAAAAATATTGGAAGAATCCACGCGGCCGCATGAAGATAGGATGCGATGTTGTGAAGAGCTTCGCTGCTCCACTCGTTTCTAGCGCTCAGCAGCCAGCAACCGCACAGCACCGCCCACCACGTGTTGCTGGCTAGTCCCAGATAGTACCTGATTAGCCACCAAATTGTACAGGGAACGCTCTTCAAAGCATCGCGGACCTGTTTATAAATAATCGACATTACATATTAGGGGAGACCGGGGCGAAGTCGTCACTATTTGTTCGGTGTCGATTTTTTTAACAAAACAAATAATTTTAGTAAAATGTAACAAAATTTATAAGGACATTTTTGGTCTACGTCGCTTTGTTAGATGAATAAACGTGAAAAAATTCAAGACAGAAAGAAATAACAGTATAGTAAAGATATCGTAACAACTTAAATTGAGGCCAATATAAACTTGCAGATAAAGTCTTAGCGATGTGCTAATAGCAAACAGAATCTCGAGCAGAATATTATTGCAGTAGATTGACATCAGCTGCGTCAACATTAAGTTCGTATTCTGTCAGCAAAGTCTGCCGACATGACAGCAGGTTGCGAATACAAATCGAGCAAAATCTGCTATTTCATAACTTGGAAAGAAACATTATTTGGAATGAAATATTATTTAGAATAAAACATTATTTAGAATAAAACATTATGGAATATTATTTCAATAGTTTCTGCAATCGATTTGCCATCAGGGTCTGCTAATAGATTTTGTTACATTTCTGCTGGTTTTGCTAATAAAACCGGTTTTGAATAAATTTTACTATCTGGGATTATATTTCTTCTCTATATCGCAAATGTCTTTCTTATTTGAATCGTCGTACTGGAACTAGTTTCTCGACTTCTAGTCAGGTCTTTTTCAGCCAACAACCAACATGAACTATAAGTTATAGATTTCATTATTTACTGAAAGAAATCTGTTTACTTACTGGAACGTAACTCGGCCCATCGAGCTGACTCACGCAGCTGAGATTTTCAGCGCCAACCGCACCACGCACGATGTAAGCCACGGAGAGGAGATTGTAGCAGAGCGCCAGAAAGACTATTGGCCTTTCGGGGTAACGAAATCTGGACGGATCGACCCAGAAGGTCAGCAGGGTGAAGAGCGTCGACAGGAAGCACAGCCATGCCCACCCGGTCATCCAACGCTCTGCGAATTTTTTGTCTTCCGCGCGGTAATACGCGTCGGTACCGCAACGCGGTGCGCAAGAAATCTGAAGCAAAATGTTAAGAGAAATGTTAAGAAAGAATATATATATATATGAATATGATTTTGGCTTTTTTCCGCTCGTTCCGTTTATTCTAACCATTTCCATATCGGGTATCTGCACAAAATGCGGTGGACATTGATGATGTTGCTGTTGCTGTTGTATTCGCGTGGAGATTTGCGGCGGTCGTTCGTGGATCGCCGGCCACTGCTGCTGAACGGTTGGCAGTATCGGTGAACTAGTATCGTCCAACGTTTCGTCCGGTGGCTGCACGCACAATGTGTTTCCTGCAAAAGAGAGAAAGAGTTCAGGCTATTTTAACACACACATACTTCAATCACCAAACATTACACTTAATATTGTATGATTTAAATGTGTTAGGATTCCCAATTGTTCAGCGATATTTTTGAAAAAGTACTTTTTATACGAATAATTAAAAATGCAGATGTATCTTAGACTTTTTCTTTTTAGTTTTCGCTGTTCAAAATTTAAGCAAACTTGAGCAATTTGCTTAAATGATGACTCTTTGCTTTCATACATAATAAGTTTATCGAAAATACATATATTACAATATAACAGATTAATCGAAGGTGAGCGAGTGCTTACCGCGATCGAGGAAGCGATTGCAATCCAGCATGTGCGGCCACGGTAGCGTGAGGCTGGTTAAGGCCGGCTCGCAGTCTCTTCTTACGGAAAGGCAGAGAGACTTGCAGGCCGGTATGGCCACATGTTCCGAGCAGACCGGGGCGAAGACGGCGCACAAGAAGAGCCTGAGATGTCTCGAACAGTTGTAGTGGACCAGTGGCATGAAGGTCGTCAGCTGCAAATACACGTGCTATTAGAACCAGATGACGAGAAAGCGCGTAAATTTCGTCGCATAATTTTGTCTTCCTGAAACGTGTGTGACTCGACCAGTCCCCCTGTCTTAATTTACGGCGAAATATCCGACGAAAGGGACATGCGAACGACCGGTCTCGGGCATATTGCACTCTGTTTTTCTTTATGTGACGTTTTAACATTTGAAGTAAACTTCTATAATACGCTCTTTCGTCCTCTAAACGCGGAGCAAAGCCCCCCCCCCGTTGGAGATGCGAGAGCGAGAGGGTAATGCACCTAAGCAGACGGAGGAGACGCCTCGCTTCCATGAAATATAACGAGCGGTGGGCATCAGGGGTAATTATCCCGCCCATTCTTCCCGCCTCAATCCCGATGGACCCCTCGCGCCGTCGCTGGGGCCCACCGAGACCGTGCTCCTCTCTACCTCCTGCCCTTTTCCCTCCCCCTCTAGATTCGCCCATTACGAGCGGAGCCCGATGCTCTTCTCCTCCACGGCGCTCCCCAAATTATAGCCTCATGAAATTACGTGGTAACCCGTAACGACAGAGCCCTCCATCTCGCCCTGCATCGCGCTCCTCTCTCTCTCTCTCTCTCTCTCTCTCTCTCTCTCTCTCTCTCTCTTTCTCCGGGTTCTCTTCTCACCGATCAAGGTAGACCAGCTGAGAGCAGGAAGAAAGAGAGAGAAAGAAAAAGAGAGAAAGAAAGAGAGAAGGGAGGGAGGGAGACCTTCCGTCCAGAGATCGTGCGCGATCGTTTTCACTTCTCACGCGCGACGGACGTGCATTGGTAATCGATATGGCAAAGAAGTCATGATCTCAATTCCCCTATGGGAGCATTAACGAAACGTAAAGAAACTAATTAACTAATTTTAGTTTTATTAAAATCCGCATTTGTTACAAAAGAGCGAAAATAATTTGAATATCTTGAGTATCTTAATTAAATATTTTTAATATTTTGAATACCTTGGAAACTCAAGATTCAAAATAATAAAATTAAAAAAATCTTTTTTCGAGTATTCGTAATTGAGATATGAAATAAGAATGATTTTGACAAAAGGAGGACGATTGAGGTTTTCGCAGTTACAACCAATAAAAGTGCCTCTTTCTCCATATTCCCTGCATGCGAGTAAACATACTTGAACGATATAGAGACGCGATAAGTCACGATTTTTTTTTATATTCGGGGACTGAAAATCGAAACAATCGAAACTACGTTACTCCCAATAGGCGTAATCGGTTATTCTTTTCGGTAATCTCTCAGATCTCGCCTCTCGGTTATCTCGAGAGCCCGGAGGAGCGAAAGGGGGAGGGGCGACGCCGACGAAGAAGAAATCTGAGCGGACCGGTTCGTTCATTATTTCGCATTCTTCTCCTCCGGGAATGACCAGAAAAAGACGGAGTAGGAAAAGGCGCATCCCACCCCCCCTTTCCACCATCTCTCGCCCGCTCCCGTATATACTCGAGTCCCTTTGGAACATTTCCGAAGCGACTTGACAGACAACTCGCGGATAGAAGAAACGAACAAACGGACGGACGGATGGACGGACGGACGGACGGACGGACGGACGGGTGGACGCGGGACCGACTTACTTCTTATTGCGGTCCGCTCCTTTTCCTTCCCCGCTTTTGTCCTTACGCGGCTCGCTCGTTCTGTTCTCTGCCTTGATCGAGTCGCTGTGAGACCCTTTGTGAGGCAGCATGTATATTTATGCGACGTGACGCATAAATCGCCGGGACGCGATGTCGAATTCGAGAGCGGGGGCCGCGGGGGGAGGGAGGGATGCTTTTTGCGAGAGGGTGCGATCGCTTTCGGAGGCTAGATTAAGTTTTTCTACGCTGCCCATTATTCGCGTGGAAAATAAACTACCGTCGCTTCCGCAGCTGCAAACTATAGAAAACGTAAAATCTCTCGATATTATGAATCGTACGATTTTGAAATAAAAAAATTTGAGGATTATCGAAAATGTAGAACGTGTATTGTACGGCCGTTTGAAGAGAACAAATTCGTGAAGTTTTTAAGCCTAGATACTGGAGAATCGCGTGTCTTCAGTGTCTTCGATTGTTTTCAAACGTTTATTCGAATATTTATTTTTTTGTTTTTTTTTGTTTTTTTTTAATTTTAAGGCAGTGATTTTTCTATTTTCGATCTTTTCTATTTTTCACCGTGGATCTTCGGAATATCCAGGCAGAACGAAGAAGATGACCAAGCATATGCCCTGCAATTTGCCGCCTTCCGGGAACGACGGCACGTGATTGGCGGTGGCGCCTTTCTTAGGATCATTCATCGAGCTTGGGGAAGTCATCAGCCTGCGAAACCCCCGCCGTCCGCGCGCGCGCCCCCCGCGCCCGTGTTCAAGAGCTAATCCCTCTGTAATTGTCCCGACCACATGTTGATTGGCTGGTTCGAAGGAACGATTACGCACACACTGATTTTAGAGTTTTGGGAATTTCGAATCTCGTCGATTTCCGATTCGAATCATAGACAATTTCGTGATTGCTTGCCTGGATCCCGAAATATCATATGAAGCCTGAAGAGACGCATGAGAAATTGCGATCAAAAATTCACATTTCGATCGTAAATAATTGCAGGTTCCTAGAACTTGAGTTTCTGTGAAGTTATAACTTCCCTTTTTTTTAATTAAAAAAAGAAATTGAGTTCTGGATGATGGCCGAAGAGATCTGTAGTTTCCAAGTGGTTTCAAAAGCTATTTTAGAAAGAGACTGTCATTTTGAGAAATTAATTTCTGGAGGTATTTTGGAAAGAATTTTTCTCGAAAGATTTATGTCGAACTGTAGAGAGAGAGAAAAAGAAAGAGAGAGAGAGAGAAAGAGAGAGAATTATCTAAAATTAGAACTCTAAAACAGCTACGTCTTTTAAATGAAATAAATTTCCTGGCGTTTTCACCGTTTTAAATGATAGAGCTCTTTCTGAAGCCGCTTAACTCCAAAATTATTTGGAGAACGTCCAAAGACCAAAGCTTCAGAAATTTCTTTTTAATTTTAGAAAAACAGAGCCAACTTCACCGGGGTGTGAAACTCGATACGACTTATAACTGGCTGAAACGATTCTGACACTCCACTCGAGGAACATCAGGAACAGAGATGTGCGGACGGAGTTTTTGAAAGAGCCACCACGAGCTTCGGCGATTCCAAGATAACGATTCGAAG